CCTTCCCAAAGCAACAACAGCTCTGCTGAAAGAATTCTCCTTCCCTGAGTGTGCTGGAGTTCAGAGACTCCAGAGAGCCAACAGCTCCCAGCACCATCTGCACCAGGCAAGGTGCAGCAGAAACCATCCAATGTTCAAACAGAAGGAACCAGAGGTCTGTGCCACAGCCTCCACCTGGGCCCCAGGACTTCAACCCTGGTCCACAGGCAATCTCCACAAGCTGCCATGCAAGAGGAAGGAAATTTCCCCACCTCCACCTCTACAAGGTAAGGAAGAAACTCAAGAACTCCTCAAAGATGATAAACCCACCGATCTCACCTGTCCTGCAGGTAGGAAGCTGTGTTCCGAACATGAAAGGACACCACATTTCCTTCAGTTCACCAAGCCACCTACTCATTCCTGTACACCAAGGACTGCTCTCCTCATCCTCCCCAGCCTAGGGCAGCAAGGTGTGTCTGCTTCACCGAGTACAGCGCTTGCAATAACTAAGATCACAACAGCCTTACAGCCAAAAAACCCACATCCACAGCCACTGAAAGCAGCCTGAGATGCTCAGTCCTCCTCCTCCCGCAGGGGAGAGGGACTTACCCCACACGTATTTGTGGTGTGGAGACTCTGCTGTGGAGCACCGAGAAGTACCAGGACAGAATTTGGGTGCTCTCATCTGCGCTGGGCCTGGAGCTGCCCTGACCCTGGTAGGGCAGATGGGCTCTGTGGTTACGTGCAGCCCTGTTCCCATCGGCTGCTCCTGCTGGAGGTGCCACAGACACCTCGAAGGAGCTGGAAGTTCTCTCCTGAGTGATATAGAGGTACCTGATAAACGCCAAAGAGGGATGGACTGGGAGATAAACTCCAAAAGCAATCCTCCAGTTTTTGACACCTTGACAGCCAAATGCGTTTAAAAAATGGCACGAAGACCAGCGCTAGAAATAAAGATTTTATAAATAAACCCGGGTCAGAATCAATCACAGCCTCCCTAACGATTCCTCAGAATCTGAGTGATATAGAGGTACCTGATAAACGCCAAAGAGGGATGGACTGGGAGATAAACTCCAAAAGCAATCCTCCAGTTTTTGACACCTTGACAGCCAAATGCGTTTAAAAAATGGCACGAAGACCAGCGCTAGAAATAAAGATTTTATAAATAAACCCGGGTCAGAATCAATCACAGCCTCCCTAACGATTCCTCAGAATCAGCAGGATCAGAGCCCAGCACGCTGAGCCAAGGCAGCTCTGCCAAGCCCTCCTGCCAGCCATCCATCCTGGCACCTCGTGAGCATCTGTGCCAAGCTCCCTTCCTTCCCCACTCCAGAGAACTGCTGCTTCCAAACCCAGTCCCTGGAAACCTCGCAGACCTCACACCACAAGCTACGACGTCACCTCCTCCGTCCGCATCCAGCTGCGTTCAGCGGAAAGATCTGGGTTTTTTAATCAGCTTGCAAATGCTCACACTGAAGGCAAAACGTTCAGAGACTCAAGTAAATTTGAAATCTCTTCATTTTAAGGTTTTTTCCTTGTTCTCCAGGTGAAATATCCTGTTGGTAGGCGGTGCTGACCAACCAGCCATCTCTCCCTGACATGACTGCAAACACGATCGGACCTGGTTTAACCCAGCTCCGTAGGGTTCGAGATCCGAAATTGTCCTACTCCAGCCCAAGAAACCAAACCCAAGTCCAGCTGAATGAACACTAAGCCATCATTTTCTCCCATCCTTTACTAGATCATCCCAGAATTCTGCAGCCAGCCTGGCAGCCAGCTTTGCTGCACTGTGGTGGGGCTGCTGGAATCCAAGGGGAACACTCCTGCGCTCAGCGTCTGGCCCACTGGCAGGTTCTGCTGTGGCTTTTGAGTTCTGGAAATTTCCCCCTTCTGCAGCTTACACCACAGTCTCCCAAAGTTCCGGGTAAAATACACGCTTCCTGCTGCAGCTGCTGGCTCCTGCTCTCCACCTCTGCAGAAGTGGCTGCTGCGAACAGGGAAAACAAATGAGATTCTGCAGCGGCTCCACACAAGTTTCCCCAGATCTCCGAGGGAATTCTGCCTGCAGAAGCCCAGCAGCAGCCAGCCTTTGAAATCGCATTTCAAACTTCTCCCTTTCATCACCCCGGCGGCAGTAATTGCAGAAGCTCCTTCCTCCTCCTTCCCCAATAATGAGGGCAGGAAGCTCCTACAGATTTCGGGCAGCCAGATCCCACACCCCAGAGACACCGGCTCCCGAATTCTCCTCACAATTCCCAGGGCAGGTGACGGACGGAGTCAAAAAAAGCAATTAGAGGAGCATCAGATTCTCTCAGAGATCACCCTCTCCAAAGATTACTCCAAACTCTTATTTCCATCTTTTTAAGAATTCAGTTGCATGGATTATCTTGGCTGGATTCTGACAACTCTCTGCAGTACCAGTAATCCACGGCGCTTCCCACTGGACTAGTACGTAGGAATAAAAGCTGCTTCTGAGCAACACTGGCTAACCCATTTCCATTCTCCCAAATGGCTCCAACAGGAAACAAAGAGCATTATTCAGTCGAAAACAGAGATGTTTTCTAATTAAATCCATCTCAGTCATTAGGAAATAAAGTAAACGTAGCTGCTTTATAAAAGAACCACTTCAGCCTGGCCACTTCCCCTTGACATTTCTCGACCTTTGTTTGCAATTGAACCCAGGCCGATAGACCCCTGGAGCCACAGGCAGCCATAAGTGACTTCAGATAGGCTTTGGACCAGCTTAAAAGTCTTTCTGCATGAAGCCAAATACAAAAAAAAACACCAAAACCCAGAGCTTTGTCTTATATCTGCATGCTCAAGAGCATCAACAAAAAACTCCTGCGCTGCACGCCTCTCGGAGCGTGCTGTCAGACACCCAGCAGGCGGCTCGCTCACCCAGCCCAGGCGCTTGGTGGAACTCCGGGCAAGACCTCACGTGCACCATCTTACCTTTTCTTTCTCAGATGGCTGCCAAAACACTCCACATTGTGCTCTACCAGCTGCAGGTTTGATGCAGGACTCTCCGGGGGTCCTCCCACTGGTTTCCCAGCGATGTGGGCAGAGGAAAGGTGACCCAAAACTGACTTGTTTTCATCTAGGTGTCACTGCTTTTCTCCACGCTGAACCCCGGGAATTGCTGCTGGGCCATGAACTCCATTTCCTGCTTTCTCACAGCCCAGGCCTGTGGCTGTCTCAGCCACTCTGGATATCCGGACAGATGTGGAGTTCACGAGATCCAAGTGTCAAGCTTCTGGTATTCAGCTGCCAATTTAGACATGCTCCTATCTCTCGAGGAACACGCAAAACGCTGGCAGAGTCTGCCAGCACCTCCACAATGCCAGAGGGGCAGACTCTGACCTCTGTTACACCCGGTGTAAACCCGGAGCCACCTGCTTGATTCAGGATTAACACTGACCTGACCGGGATGAGCACCAACCTGTCCGTGACACAAACCCACCCCAGTGGTGGCAGTTCGTGGTCTATTTGTCCTAGAGACAAACCCTAGCAGTTAACTTCGAAAAATAATAACGGAGCTTTCCAAAGGACCTACCACTACAGGGTAACACTAAACTCCACCATACACAGGGCACGTGAACATGCCAGGCACCTGCCAGGCTCCGAACGGGCTCCCAGCACGGGAAGTTTTGTCCTACCCCAGCGAACCAAACATAAATAAATTACAAGAGAGAACCAGGCAGCCAGAAGACGCGCTCCTCCTGAGCGGCCGGGACAACGGAAACAACAGAGCGAGTGTCACTTGAGGATCTCTTCCGAAATTTAACGTAGATGCTCGTTTAACAACGACCTGCAGAGGGTCATCTTCAGTTTTAAGGTTCCCCCCCCCCCCCCAGCCTGTCCTCCCTTTCTAAACCCAAACCTCTCTCTCCCCACCGGCGCCGGGGCCACTCGGAGACCCCTCCGCCCTCGCCGA